GGCTCACCGTGGTTCTGGAGCTCACCGTGGTTCTGGAGCTCACCGTGGTTCTGGGGCTCACCGTGGTTCTGGAGCTCACCGTGGTTCTGGAGCTCACCGTGGTTCTGGAGCTCACCGGGGTTCTGGAGCTCACCAGGGTTCTGGAGCTCAGGCTCCTCTGGCAGATGGACCTCCTCCACTCTATCGCCTCCTAAACGGGCCCAAAGGTCAGACCCAGAGCTCAGCTGAACTGGACAGAACCTTCACCTGTCTGACCTACCTGTCCCCTGTGACACCTCCTCCTCCTCCTCCTCCTCCTCCTCTGCACGGATCTCCTCTACAGGAGGTGCGGAGGACGGGGCGGCGCGGGCCGTCCTGTGACGCTGCATGGACCCACCGAGCAGAACAGATCCGAGTGAAACAGAACCAGCTCCTCCAGAGGAGTTGAGAGGGGAACCAGGCAGCTCCTCCTCCTCTCCCTCCTCGTGGGGAACCCGACCCGCTCTATTATTAGAGCTGACAAAGCTCCGCCAGAGGACAGAACGACCCGCACAGAGACCTTGACTCCTCTCCTCACAGAGAACCCCCACCTCTGTTACAGAACCAGAACCACCCCCCACCTTTCAAAAGGAGAGGTCCAAATATTTACATACACCCTCAGCATCAGAGGCCAGGATGGCGGATCTGACCCGGTCTGAACAAAGGATGCCTCCATTCATTCTAGTTCAGACTGGTTCAACCGATCGGTTCGGCTGCTGACATCACCAGGCCAACCAGTCGATCCAGAGTCAGTGAGCGAGCCGCTAAAAATATCTAATTAGAAGACTGAGCTAAAAGCTGCTTTAATGCTGGGGAAGATTCTACCCAACACAGGAGAGCGCCCTCCTCTGGACAAGACTCCTTCAGAAACCTTCAATGCAGCGATAGAGTTGATTCCTTCCTGCTCTCATCGCAGCTCCAACCCCTTTACAGGAGAACAGAAGACCTCACCTGTTCATCCAGGCCAACTATTCCCTCTAACGACCCCCCTTTCAGAGACATAGACAGGTATGGGGCATTGCAGGCTAACAAAGAAGCCAAACGACCCCCATTCCAAAGGGGGGGACCCGTTCATCCGTTTCTATTTCCTAAACTAAAACCAGGCTTTGTTGGGCTGCTGGATAAAACCTGGAACTAAACGCTATTTCTGACATTTTGAATTGAAAAATCTTCCTGGATGGAAGAGAAACGTCTTCAAACTTGGAAACAAAGTCCAGTGGATTGATTTTAATTCTGGAATTCACCCTGAAATATCAAATTTCTCGAAAAGTCGTATCAAGTTATATTGTGAAATTATATATACATACATATATATGTGATGTGGAGTTTTTGTCCACTTCAACTTCATGATTATGACAACTTATGCTGATGACCAAAACTGGTAAAATACTGGGAGGATGTTAGCAAACGTAAAAACCACCTTAAACCTGAAACTGATTGCATGAGCCGGCTTTGCTTTTTCAGACAGTTTGAAAACTGGATGCAAGTTTCTTCCAGCTGAACTCCAACAGATTACGAGAGCAGAACCAGTCACCCAAGTCCTGAGGCCAAATCTAGACCATCAGAACCAGAGGGCTGATGCATTTAAATGTCTGACCGCCAAATGTCGTTAAAGGTTGAGCTTTGGTGTTAGCCATGAGCTGCTGCTCAGGGATCGGTTAATGCTGGAAAACACAGCAACCATTGAGGTTTTGGAGAAATCAGGCAGAGAGAACAGAAAATGGACTTGCCGAGCAGAACTTTGGCGTCCTCCACGTCAAAGTCTCCGTCGTTGTCCGTGTCGTAGGCAGCTAGTTTCCCTGGAGGCAGAGGAGGACAAATAAAACCTTCACCTCTGGAGCACAAGGTGTTTAGAGTTAGATGCAGATTTGAGATGAGAGCAGACGGCGAACCACACAGGATCATGGTAACCAGTTAAAGTGAGACATTATAAATAACAAACTGGAAAATAGCAGAAACATAAACCACAAAAAACACAAATTTGAACTCAAAGAAGAATAAAATGGGACAGACATCTGCAGTGGAACAGTGGAAGAAAAGACCTGCAGATGGTTTATAGAGAAAGGTGAGAAGATGGGAATGACGGCGGATCTGCTGCTGATGGAAGCTGGACTGATCCGACTCGCTGAGAGGTGATGCAGGAGGAGGGCAAACCGCACGAGAAGGTGCTGCACAAAGAGGAAGGATGTGGTGAGGATGACTGTGATGTCTGTCAGCCTGAACCTTCAGAGACACCAGCAGCAACCACAGAAATGTCATGAGAAACAGAACCAGGCTGAACCCAGGGCATCTTTACA